CAACATACACTGGTATGCATTCACTTATGGTGAAAGGAAACTCGGCATCAGTGAGTTGATATACAATGAGTTGTCCGCAAACGAGACGCTGCTATCAACGTTTTTAGAACGAAGCGTACCCATCAGAACACTGTTATCAACTGAATGTACACCGATGTGTTCGACGACTGCGTATGTAATGATGTGACGATATACAGACTGAGCCCTTCGTGAATGTATACATGATTTTCTGGCGCCTACAAACGGTGCTGACGTGTGTGAGAAAATTGTCCGCGCAGCAAAAGCCGGCGAAGCGTGCGGGAGCTCGCATGCTGAGACAGACTACGTCTGCAGACCGCCAGCTGCAAAAGGTTGCGAGCGGCTCTTGGAAGATGTTTACGGAACGGAGCTACGGTGTCTGAAAACATTGGCATCGAAGCGAAGAGCCTCGGAGCCCTGCAGCCTGAGAAACACCGCGGGAACTCGCGTACTGAAAAGGAACGCATTGCAAACCGCACGCTGCGAACCCTGCAGGCTGAGAAGCACCGCAGGATGTCGCATGCTGAAAAGCACTTGTACTGCAGAGCGCAAGCTGCGAAACCTGCAGGCTGAGAAGCACCGCAGGAACTCGCATGATTTCGCACACTACTGCTCGAGACCGCAGCTGGAGAGCGGCAGACCGCAGGCTGAGAAGCACCGCGGGCAGTGAGACTTGCAAAACTCAAATGTCCTGATCGTCTTGGAGGAAGTCACGCCAGTCCGGCGGCTGCCAAGAATCGATGATGCGCCTGGAGCCACCGCCCGTGCTGCCGCCGATGTCAGGGCAGTCGCCTCCGGCCCTGCGCAGACGGCCGTGCCCCAACGCCAGAATCGCTTGGTTGCGGATTTGAAGCAGCTCTCCGCTCTCAAACATCTGCAACACGTCCAGCTGCCTGCGCGTGAAGTTCGGCTTTGGCTGGCCAGCCTGGGCAGACGGAAGAGCGCCGACACGACGGACCTCTTCGCGATGGCGGGAAAGCCGCTCCCCCTCGTTGTAGCGCGCGATGGCTTCGGCCTTCTGGTGGTGCAGACGGCGCCGCTGTTCCCGCAGAGCTTCCTCGGGAACTGCTGTATCACGGCCCTCACTGTGATCAGCTTGCAACGCTTGCGTTAGCCAATCAACGTCGAAGCGCCCTGAGAAGGCCAGCACCTCCCAGATCTGTTTGGTGCCGGCCACGCGTTGCAAATGGCGATGCCACCGCTTACGCTTCTGGTCTTTCACAAACTTGGCGACGCTACCCAGACCTGCACCCTTGGCCTGGCCACCTTTTCCCGCAGGCTGAGAAGCACCGTGAGAACCTTTCTTACCGCCTGGCCCTTTGTTAGGACCCTGCGGAACCGCATGGCCCCCTTGTGGCGCAGACTTGCCTCTCGCTTTTCCCTTTTCGACATCCCGTTCCTGAAGCGCACGCTGCTGCCGCGACTGCTCGTACTGGTCGCGAGCTACTCTGACCAATTCCTGGCGCTCAGGCTCCGTGAGAACGTAGCGCATGTCGTCGATGTTCTTGCTCCGCAGAAAGTCATGTCGAAGCTTAAGGACAGAGAGAATGGCTCGGCCAGTCTCCTCCTGAGACGCAAAGGCCGCGTCATATTCCGAGCCAGGCTGAGGAGCGCCAGCTGGATCAGTGTCCGCTGGCTCCGTGGACTTCCTCTTTTTGAAAAGCAAGAGACTGAGATGAAAGAGGACTTTCGGATCGTACTCCTCGTCGTACCTTTCGTCCCAAAGCTGCCTCAGCTCCCTGTGCAAGTCGTTCGCGCGATTTTGAACGACATCCTCGACGTAGTCGGGATCAGCCGGTGAAGTCGGTGAAAGCGGAGGAGTAGAACGTGGCGACCGATCCCAATGCACAGAAGACTCGGCGTCCGCCTGTACGCTGACGTCGGCGTCGGAGACGTTTTCGACGACAATCTTCCGCCTCTTGCTCTCCCCAGGCTGAATAGCACCAGGGAGAGTGAGCACAACCGCCACCGCATCGTGTGCGTCGTTGCGCATGCCACGATCCGTAAAAGACGCGCCAACGGCAATGGAGCAGAAACGGGCGACTGCTCCGCAGACCGCGACGTGGTCGCCTTTGAGGTCGGCCGGAGTGGCATGGACCTCCCAGAGCTTCTCGTCGTTCTGCTGGCGCTGGTAAGCCTCCCGCGCCTCCTGGAAAGTCAGGTTGTCGTCGCCGACTACAAGCAGAACGACTGGCACGTGCGGCTCCGAAGCATTGAGAATCTGAGCCATGCAGTCCAGGTGCAAGCGGAGATGGCGAACTGTCCGCTTTCGAGTCTGGATGGTCGGCGGTTTCTTGCCGCACACGATGTGCATGTTGGCGATCACCACGTGGAACTTGTCATGGCCTGGTTTGTTCACCTCAAAATGTGAAATAACAGCATCAATCTCTCGGCCGCTAGGAGGCCTGTAAACTTGGCTGTCTTCGCACAGAGTCAGTTCCGCAGGCTGAGAAGCACCGCGGAAGCCCCAGAGAGTCAAGTAGTTGTCGACCTCCGAGAAGCCAATGCCATCACCGAAAGGCTTACTGAGGATCTCTGTCACGTTGATCCCTGCTCGGCGAAAGCCTTCACGGAACGCACCGACCTCGCATGCACAGACAATATCAGCATCAGCGGTCTCCACTATCGTGGCGCACACCCTTCCGAAGTTAGCGCAGTGAGTGGCCGCCTGCTTACCAGTCATCATGCCCTGCTCGAACCCGAAATTGAACGAGGCGACCGTGAAAGACGCAGGCTGCACAGCGCCAGAACCAGGCGTCTGTCCACCTTCCTCCAGGCTGAGGCTGAGAAGCACCGCGAGGCGGCGACACTTCGGACGAGCCTCGCGGAGCAGAGGCTGCGGATGAACGTTGGATATGGGGGTACGGCCAGGGGAACGCCATTGCAATCGAAACTCAGTGGACTGCAGTGAATGAATGCAGTGGCACGATTGAATGCAGTGGACTGCAGTGTCACTAGCAAGTCCTGAACCAAACACGGCTGTGGCGGAAGGACAATGAAGCGTCTGGCTATTCAAAATGTGGCCCGGGAATGGAGTTCTGGGAACTCGAAGACCAGGAAGTGGACTACAGTTGGCTCCGGGCATCCAAAATGTGGCCCAGGAATGGAGTTCTGGGAACTCGAAGAGCACGAAGTGTGTGACTGTTGCATCCGGCCCTCCAGAATGTGGCCCGGGAATGGAGTTCTGGGAACTCGAAGAGCACGAAGTGTGTGACTGTTGCATCCGGCCCTCCAGAATGTGGCCCGGCCTTCCCTGATGTGGCCCGGGAATGGCGTTCTGGGATGTCGAAGAGCACGAAGTGTGTGACTGTTGCATCCGGTTATTTTAAAGGTGGCCCGGGAATGGCCTTCTGGGATCTCGAAGAGCACGAAGTGTGTGACTGTTGCATCCGGTTATTCAGAATGAGCCTGGGAATGGAGTTCTGGGAACTCGAAGAGCACGAAGTGTGTGACTGTTGGTGAAAAGCGAGGTGGACTCAACCCGCCCGGCAACTCCCAACACCTGCTCGGACCCCCCTGTGGAGTGATCTGTGAGCTGTTTTTAGCCCACTAGAAACCTACCAGTCTTCGATGTTAAGTAAAAATCCATGACGGCCCAAGCAGCTTCCAGAATCGCCCCAAAACAACCCAAAAAGCCCCCAAGAGGGCCCCAAGACGGCCCAAGAGGGCCCCAAAACGGCCCAAAGAGGCCCCCAAGACGGTCCAAGAAGCCGCGAAGACGGCCCAAAAGGGCTCCAATGCGGCCGCGAGAGGCCCCAAGACAGCCTCCGAGGGGGCGACACGGCGCAAAAGCGCCCCAAGACTGCCCAAGACGCCCCCAAGAGGCCGCAAGAGGCCCCCAAGAAGCCTCCAAGAAGTCCCCCAGAAGCCTCCAAAAGGCCCCCAAGAAGCCCCCCAAATGCTGCACAGCGACTGGAGTGTAATGTTATTTTCCCCCCTCTGGGTGAAGTGCGGCGCAGCGCCAGTCAGGTGGAAATTGGTCACTGCGGCGCCCATGATTAGAGCCGGCGCTGAAGGGAAGTTGGGGAGGGTGTATGAAAAGGAGGGAAGGGGGAAGGCCCCAAGAAGTCCCCCCAGGAGGCCTCCAGAAGGCCCCCAAGAGGCTGCCAAGAGGCCCCGCGACGACGTGACTGTACGTGCTCCGGACGTGCACCCCCGCGAAGCGAGAGGAATCTTGCAAGCAAGCGTATCGCCTGAGACAACCTCAACACCTTGATTTGACGGCTCTATGCGACCTCGGTATCCTTAGAAGAACTGTCGCCAGCCCCATGCAATTTTAGGACCGGGAACATCTACCTACAAAAAGAAAACCCTGGGCGCTGGCCCGTTCTGGGAAAAAGCCCCCCGAGAGCCTCCGAGGAGACCCCAAGAAGCCTCCCAAAGAGGCATCTGGTCCACGACCCAGCTTGGTTGTCCCATGAGTTCCCTAAAAAACCGTCCAGTGCCTCCCAGTCTTCTCCCGGTGTCCACGAACACACGAACACATTCCTAGTCGCTACGACCAGACGGGCACGCAGCAACGATAACACTGCACAGGAAGGCGGAATGAGCGAAGCGATAAAGAAATAATAAGGATAATATGGAAGATCCAATGACGACGAAGCCTGGCCAATCTTCAACTCCTGGGTGCACGACTTCCTCTCCACGGTCACGCGCGCTCTGCGGAGGGGCTTCTTGTTACGGGATCAGGCAACTTTCCGTTGCCGATGTCAGACTTTGGCTAGAAGTGAGGCTGAGCCTAACGAGGGGTATGACGACCCCAATCCCCGACTCTCGGGGGGCTTTCGAATGGATCAAGCATTTTGGGCCTTACTCAAGGATCTTCGAGAGAGGGGCGTCCCATCCTCGACAGGGGTGCGTCCGAGTAGCCCCCTGGGGGTAGATCTCCGAGTTCCCCTTCTTTCTGAGCGAATTGATTTGTCTTGGAATCAGTCGCGGGCTGGGGGGCGAGAGTCGCCTGCGAGAGCCCGTCCCCTGCCCTCCCGTGAGCAGCTCGCCGAACGTCCGGCCGTCGTCGCTGCGGGCGGCGAGGCCCAGGGCGTCGTCCGGGTGCTGGTCGCCTTGCCGGGAAGCCGGGGGGGGGGGGGCCGGCACGGTGCTCCGGTGCGCTCAGGGGGCTGCCCGATGGGGAGGACGGGGGAAGCAGGGCGGGAGGCTTTCGGTCGTCTCCTGGATGCTGTCGGGGGACTCACTGAAGGCTTGGGGGGAATTCTTGGATAATTTTCGGGGATTCTAAAAACATGACGATCCCTGAACGAGACCCTGCGACTACATTCGACGTAGCACTGAAACGCCACCACCCCATGACCCGAAGCAGTTTCAGACCACTCAAGCGTCCTGGGGTCACGATTTATCCACGAAGACCGAAAGGGACATAACATGTAAAGCATGGAAACATGTTCGAGACACCTGACTGGGCGACGGGCAATTGCCAGCCTGAAGGTATCTATGGAGGTGTACCGTGCCATGGGCTATGCTGTGCCGTGCCGTGCTGAATTGACATGCAGCATGCCGCGTTGAGCTAAGCTCTGCTCCATTGCATTGTGGATCTAGTCGTCCTTGGCATACGAGTCCTGACCGAACTGATATGGATCTTAAGCCCGAGCTGCCTGAACACATCGCTTGCCCAGAGCTGGTTGCGATCGAAGCGCGCGGGGCGCTCAACCAGCTCGAACGTTCGAACTCAAAATCCGATCCAACTCGGGAACGGCACGCGCGATACCGAACCGAGGGAAACCACACTGACAATACGCGGACCGAAACGCGGCGAACCGAGACACGACGAACCAACACAGGACGAACCGACACAGTACGAACCCAGACGAGGGCCAAACATGCCCTGATCGAATCGAGGAACGATGAGCCGAGACTGGGAGGAACCGAACACGTTCCGGCACACCCTCCTAACACCACCGGGCAGGGGAACCGCCAGAGGACGAGCTAGGGAGCTCGTCAAAGACGAGCCAGGGGACGTGCCACTGAACGAGCCAGGGGATGCGGTAGTGGACGCGCCAGGGGGCGTGCCCGGGGGAGAAGCGCCATGGGACAGACCAGGGAACGTGCCCAGGGGCGTGCCATGGGATGCGCCACGGAACGTGTCAGGAGACGCACGGAATGGGAAGGGAACGCGCCAGAGGACGAGCCAACGGACGTGCCACGGGACGTGCCAGGGGGACGCGGTCGTGGACGCGCCACGGGGGCGTGCCCGGGGAGAGACGTCAGGGGGCAGACCAGGGAACGTGCCAAAGAAAGCCCTGGGATACGCCACGGAACATGTCAGGGGACGCGCGGCAGACGTGCCAGGGGAAGCGCTAGCCAGGGGGCGTGGCAAGGGGGACCAAGGGACGTGCCACGGAACGCGACAGGAGACAAGCCACGGGACGACCCACCCGGCTCTCCAAGTCTTCTCCGCTGGATCCGCGGCTCCAGCTCCTGCACCCACGGCTTCAGCTCCTCCTCCTCCTCCTCCTCCTGGAGGCCCACTGGGCGGGGCCCCAGTTTGAAGACTTCCCCGCGATTCACTCACGAATGAAGCCTTCGCTCGAAAGATCCTCGCAGGCTTTCTCGCGGGCGGAAAGGGAACGCACATGTAGAAGCACAGGGTGCCAACTTGCGGGCGAAGGGAACGCATGCAACATGGTTTCGAGCACAGGCGACAATAACCGACGTGAAGCACATGGTTTCAGCTCGCTAGCGAACGTAAACCAGACGCAAAACAACCTGTGGTCGTAACAAGGGCGAAAAGACCCCCGTTAACAAACATAACACGTGGTTTCAGCTCACGAGGTCAAGGAACCGGGACAAAAACACATGGGTTCCACCCACGAGCAACAGGAACCACTGTAAGAACGCATGGTTTCAACCCACATACATGAACCCATGTAAAAAACACATGGCTTCCGCTCCTCCACCTCCTACCCCTCCTCCTGTAGCTTCTCAAAGCGCCCCCCCCCGCTCGGGACTCCCCTGGCAACTCACTTACGAGTGAGATCCTCGCTCGAGACATCCACACAACGTTGCTCATTGACGAAAAAACTCAAAGAGGAAAAGGGATCCGTGTAGGAACACATGGTGTCAACGAGTGTGCGAACGGAACCCATGTCAACACAACGGCTTCAGCTCCTTTTCCTTCTTTCATTGCTTCTCCTCCTCCTCCTCCTCCTCCTCCTCCACCTGGAGCTTCACAGGGCGACCCCCCCCCGCCCGAGACAACCCCGCAGTTTACTCACGAATGGGACCCTCGCTCGAGACATCCCCAAATGTTTGCGCACTGGCGAACAAAATCATGTAGCAACACATGGCTCCGGTTGACGGGCAAGAAGCATCAGCGCAAAAACGTGGCTTGAAACCACGGACGAAACAAACCCAAGTTACAGCCCAGGGGCGAAAGGAACCCATGTTACAACAACTGGGTTCAGTTCCTCCTCATCCGCCTGGAACTCCACAGGGCGGGGCCCGCTCGAACTCCCCCCGCAATTCACTCACGAATGAAACCCTCGCTCGAGGCATCCTGAAATTTCTGCTCGCTGACGATAAGAGAGCGTTTGGCAACATATGGCTTTGGCTCACAAAAGAGGCCCATGCAAAACACACGGGTTGAGCTCGCAGACGAAACCAAACCGTGTAGAAAGAAACACATGGCTTCCGCCCAGGGGCGGGACAAAACACATGTTTAAATTATCCAGGCGAAGGGCCCAACCAGATGCAATTGTGAATACAACCTTGTGGGTACCGCTTTAGGTGGAGCCCCCATTTGGGGCCGCGATGCCATGCGATCGCAGCCACTGGGCCTTCGGTGGAGCTCCCTATGGTGCCATGCAAAACGTGAGGGCTGTGCTAAGATGGGGCGGGCGGCCGCATGCGAACGCTGCCTCTGGGGCCTTAGGTGAAACTCCCTATGGGACCAGGAAGCGTGAAAGGGGTGCGCCGAAATACTGCGGAAGACGCATGCGAACTTTGCCGTTGGGCCCTCAGGTGGACCCCCCCGATGGTGCCGCGAAGCGTATGAAGGGTTTCTGCCGCTGGAACCCTCGGTGAAATCCCCTACGCCGCCACGAAACGCTTGAAGGGTATGCTGAAACGGTGCGGGGGGGCGCACGCGAATCCCGCCACTGGAGCCTTCGGGTGGACTCCGTTTGGGACCACGAAGCGTGCGTAGGGGTGTACCGAAAAGGGTGCGACGCCCACGTGTGAGCGCTGTCACTGGAGTCCTCGGTGGAGCTCCCAATGGGGCCACAAAACGTGTGGGGTATGCCGACATGGCAGCGACGCCCGCACGTGACCATTGCCTCTGGGGCCTGCGTTGGAGCCCCTTTATTGGAAACGTGTGAGGAACGTGCTACAATGGACATGCGAAGGGCAGAGGCAAGGATGGGAGGAGGGGGCAGCGGGCGGAGTGGAGCGCGGCGCTGTTTCTTCAAAACGAGGGCCCCACACCACAGGATGATTGGGGACGAATGATTTCGATTCCTGTTTTGATGCCTTCCACGCATCAAGAAAGGGTAGGTTAAGCAGACCGCACCTCCCCACGTCGCCTCAGGAGTTCACGTTCATGCGCCAGTGCTCGCATAGGCCCGAACATGTGTTTCACGACATTGATACCAGGAAGCTGCACACAGGCAATCCGCCATGCATGCCGCACACAATACCACATGTGGAAGACACAATTACTTCGCCAAGAAGACAGTACCCAACCGACCGAACGCGAAACTCCCACAAGAATTCCAAGACCTTGAGCGCGACCGCGCCGAAATCCACTGGGGAAAGCGAATCCCGCGGTCCCGCGGACGCCCACCAACAGAGCGATCGAAATGTAACACGTGTCCTTCAATCATGTATTGGGGCGACTGGTGGAGGCCGAAGTACCAGTCCAGCGTGCACGAACGATGCGAACACAATCAAATAAAGAAAACACAAGAGAATTGCCAAGGGGACTGCTGCTTCGCACTACAGAACAGTGTGACTGTGGCTGCAACGCAAGCGCGTCTTGATCAAAAACGCGACCAAAACAGTACGAAAACACCGAAATGCGCAACGGCTCCGTGCACCGATGGCTGGGCCATCCTGTTCCCACCATTGCAGTTGAAATTCGCCGGCTCAACGGGCCAGAGGCGTGCTAAGACCTCCGGTAACTGGTTAACAATATTTCTAGTTCGCGCGCTCGGAGCGGCCCCTGGGGGCCCCGGGACGAAAAGTATCCCGGCAAGGTCCCGGGAGAAGCCACCAGAACACTCCAGGGGAGGGCCATTTTTCGACAGCCCTCACGAGGATCGTCGCCTCCGAGGGGGGAGCCGCAATCGACTACCCCCCCTCCCGCCCCAAGAGGCCCCCCCAACGCCCCCCAAGACGCCGCCAAGGAGCCCCAAGAGACTCCCAAGAGGTCCCCAAGAGGCCCCCAAGAGGCCCTAAAGAGGGCTCCAGGGCCGGCGGAATGAGCGAAGCGATTAGATAACGACCTCAACCTGCAGCCAGAAGAGCGCACTCAAGAGCTTGAACTCGAGTGGCTGATTTCGCGAACAAAGGGACCAACATACTACCAGCAACGCATCCATCCAGCTGTAAGAATCTAGATGCGCGAGATACTCCTGCAACCAATTCACCCCGGCGTTCACCGGCGAAGACCGCCCCGGAGAAGGCGAGCATCGACCGGTGGTCAAGTCGGCACACGTATGGTCCAGCCTTGGGGCAACTCGCCAATGCCGCTAGCTCATTTGAGCATGACAGGCTTCAGCCGAAATGGCTACGGTCTCAGCTCCTCCTTCTCCTCTTCCTCCTGGTGCTCCACAAGGCGAGGCTCCCGCTCGAGACTCCCCCACAATTCACTCACGTATGAAGCCCTCGCTCGAGAGATCCGAACATCGTTGCTCATGGACGAATGGCGCGCGTGCTAAGGCACATTCTCTTGTCTCGCGGTCGAAAGGAACCCAAATCAAAATATCTCGTTCGAGCTCAAAAACGGAAACAAGCCATGTAAAAACACGGTCTCAGCTCACGGGCGAAGAATCCGAAGACCTCACGTTCGATATCCCCTCTTGGTGGCCTGGACACGTGAAAACACGCGTTTCGCTCGAGACACCCAATGGAGTCCGCAGACAGCGTGTCGCTCGAGACACCCCGAACTCTGCAAAGCAAGCTTTTCGCCTGAGACATCCTCAACACATGATGTGGAACACAGGCCATCCTCGACAATCTTCTTCGCCAGCCCTTCGAGACCTCGTTAGCAATCGAAGAGAAGTTCGCCCGCCCTCTGCAAGTTGCGGGCCAGGCACAATTTACAAACGAAAATGTAACCCTGGGCCTACGCCCTTTCCTGGACAATCAGGGCGGCCACATTTTTCGGGGAGACGTTACGGGAAACTCGGGTTGGCCAGACGGGGCCATCACAAAAATGACGAGGCCCAATCTGAAATTTGACGCGAACTCCCGCTGCAAACATCCTCTGGAAACGGGACCGTCAAAATCCAGGCTGCGCTCGTCAAAAAACATCGGCAAACCGAAGTTCCGGCTTGCTCGATTCTTACGTTTCCCAGAATTTTCGGAGTTGGGGCCTTCGGAGGCACGCTCGAGAAGCCGGGAGCCCATACAGAGAGCATCCCGCGATGCGACGTCTGCACGTCGAGAGACTCCCCTCCCCCCCCCTGGCGATCACGGCGCCCCTCTGGACACCTCGCGACCATGCGACGAGGGGATCGACTACAGAAGTGACTTGCCCCGAACTTGACTGTCCGTCGGATCTACGACTTCTGGTAGCTTCGACCGGAAATCAATTTGGGGGTACATCTGTTCTGCAGTCGATCCTCTTCTTGAACCCATGGGGCCGCGGCCCGCCCCCCCCCTTGGCGATCAGCGCCCTTCTGGACACCTCCTGACCAGTTAGGGGATCGACTACATAAGTGACTTGCCCCGAAATTGAGTGTCCGTCGGATCCACGATTTCTCGTAGATTCGGCGGAAAATCAATTTTCGGGAGCGGCCAAGAGGGGGGCGTCCAAGCGGGGGGGGGGGGGCGCAGATCATGGCCTGCGGCACGTGCGCGGCCCAGGGGGGGGGGGCCAGGGACGTCATGAAAGAAGAAAATGCGCCATAAAATCTGGGGAAACATCATGGCCCACGCCATGATTCAAGGGGCCCAAGGACACTCAAACAAATTCACACAAATACAATGACTCCCCATCTTTTTCCATATTTTCTGGGTGTTTGTCTTCCCGCCCAATTCCCACATTTTCCCATATTTTCCTGGGAGTCGACGATTAATTGTGTCTGTGTTTTTTTTTTCCCTCCTGAATGATAACATCTGTCCTGCAGTCGATCCCCTCCTCGAGCCCGTGGGGCCGCGGCCCGCCGCTCCCGGCACTCCCGCGGCCCCTCCGAGGGCGCCGCCCGCCCGCCTGCTGGGGCGGCCGCTGGCACCGCGCCGTGGCTGTGGCTCCTCGGCGGGCCCCCCTCGCGGGACCTCCCGGCCGCCCCTCCCCCCCCCTCTGATGCGGCGCCCGCCAGCCTTGCCCTCTCGACCCTCCGCCCGCGAGGAGGAGGAGGAGGAGGAGGAGGAGGAGGAGGAGGAGGAGGAGGAGGATGGAGGAGGAGGAAGGAGGAGGGGGAGGAGGGGGAGGAGGAGGAGGAGGGAAGGAGGAGGAGGGGGAGGAGGAGGAGGAGGGGGAGGGGGAGGGAGGAGGAGGAGGGGGAGGAGGAGGGGGCGGGGGAGGAGGAGGATCGAGGAAGGCGTCCAGAGAACGCCTTCGGGGTTCCCGGGGGCCTCCCGGGGACCCCAAGGGACCGCGGCGTCGCGGACGGGGCGCGCTCGCCCGCACTCTCCGACGAGAGGCAATGATTGTTGTTGCCCCCGGGCGCCCCTCGCGTCGCCGCGCGCTGGACGCGGAAACCGGGGGTGCGCAAACGTGGGTTAGCGATCCATGGATTTGGCGCGCGGTCGCTAAATCCATGGATCGAGGAGGTGCCCTCCCCAAATTGCGGCTGGTGCCGCCTCGCTCGGCAGCGGAAATCCGCGATTCCCAATGGAAACGGGACCCGTCCTGCCTGCCATCCCTCGTCTCCGTCCCCACCCCCGTCCTGTTCCCTTGCCCATCCTCTCCGCCACCGCGTCCCCTCCCATCTTATTCCCCCCCCCCTTCTGCTCGTCCGGATGCTCCGGCGGCCAGGTCACGTGAGCCGCTGTGGTCGGGACGGAGAGACCATGCCGCCCCTAGGTTTAGGTTTTCATCTGTCGCGGTGCCTCTCCAGGTGGATCGAGCTGAGAGGGTCCAGGCTGGAACCCTTTGACTACGTTCGCATGCGACATTGCTATACCATTCCTACTTGGATCCGACAATCTGGAATAAACACACAACAAACACTCCATTCACCGTGTCGGCGCCACCTGTTCTGAGAGCTCCAACCCACTTGCTATAATAAACCCAGCGCCACCTCGTCCAAACTGGCGCCATTCCCCTTGGCATTGCAAAGCATCGCAAGGCAGAGCACTGCAACGCTGGCCAACGAGAACAACTGAGAACCACATAACACGGTAACGTATTGAGTATTGTGTATGGCACCCCGACGATTCCAGTCCAGTGCTCGTGCTCTAAACTTCAGCATACATGTAGGACACAGACGCGAAGGTCTCGTAGCTCTTTGGCAGCGGGGGGCTGGGTCGCCACGCGCGGGCGGTGAAACACACTCCCACTGAGCCACACTCGGCGGAGGTGAGCTACCAAGGCAGGTGAGCTCTGCGGATGCGAGACGTCGGCAAGATGGCCAGCCCAGCACCGGCAGGCTGGCAAGGGGATTACATGCCGCAGGGGCAGACAGGTAAGGCAGGTCGGCAGGGCAAATCGCCCTCGCGGGGCAAATCGACAGGGCAGCTGGGCTCCGTGAAGTGGGGTCGCAAGGACAAGCCAATAGAACGAACCACATGGCAAGTTACCTCCGCGTAGGCAAGGGAAACCACATTCGCAGGGCAACACAGAGCAGCCAAGATGATTCAAGCAACTCAGCGGGGCAAGCCCATCCTGCCGAAGCGACTCGACAAGGCATGCCAACGTAGCAAGATCAAGTCAACAAAGCAACCCGATCCCACAAGTGCAAATCAACAACGCTAGGTCAACAATGCATCCCGCCACTCTCAAGTACGAACCCGCGATGCCAACACTCCAGCACGCATGTCCCAAATTCTACCCTGTCTCCTCAACTCTGTCTCTCTATGTCTTGGCCCCGATCTCCGCCTCGCTGCCACTGCGGCCTTCCATCTTTCTCGCCGTCGCTCCGTCTCCGCCTTCCCGTCTTCATCGCCAGACCTCCAAGGCCGTGCGTGCTTACGACGCGAGCCCCTGGCCATCGCGAACCCATCCCTGGGCCAGTTTTTCTCCGTCGCCGCACATTCCAGCCATGACCCCAAGGCCCGACACGGGCCACCATGTGCCCAATCTTTCAAGCCTCCATGGGAACCTGTGTCCCCAGCTGTCAGGTCGGCTTTTGTCTCGGGGGCGGCCAAGAGGGGGGGGGGGGGCACAAATCATGG